TGGTGCTGGTGGTGCTGGTGGTGGCTGTGGTGGCTGTGGTGGTGGGGGTGGGGGTGGGGGTGGGGTGGGGGCAGCGGCGACGGCGGTGGTGGCGGTGGTGGTGGTGGTGATGATAATCTTAACGACAATTGTCGCAGTAGCATTAGAAGTAGAACTAGCGTTCATACTAATGAGCTGCTCACTGGCTGGAAACGGATGAACATCCCTTTAAACCACCATTTGGGTTTAGGTCAGGTAAGGTGACTACAATTTGGCCAGAAGCCCAGCTTGACTACCTGGAAGTGGTCATCTAAAAAGGTCTTGGTCCCGGGTATGCTTGAAGTCGGGGATCTATGAACACAAGTACCGTCATTTGCAGGTGCATGAAGGCTTGGCTTGACGCATCCCCACACGACGCTCAACGCTGCCTGATTCTCAGACTCCGGTTCGGGTCGAGAAGCAACATCTCGGTCATAGTGGTTTAGCAACTCCTTAGTATCATCGAAGACTGACCTTCCCCAAATCTTGTCTTGGCAACCATGACAAATGTAGAATTGGTACATACTCGCACTACGACATGGCAAACAAACATGATTCAAGACAAGAAAAAGGCTACTAATACTGATGGTAATAGTAATGGTACTAATCATAGTAGTAGTAATTCTAGCAATAATAGTAAGTAATGAATAGCACATACTAAAAAAAATATACTTGTAAGTAGTTGTGAGGAAGCTAAGCTCTGGACAGTCTTGAGCTTGGATATCAGAACATCGAAATGCTCACTGAAGGACACATCAGGTCCAGCCTGGTCCAATGTCCGGGGATAATGCGGTATATGAGCTGTAGTCTAAACTCCTTAAAGGGGAGTAAAGGGGTTATATAGGGGATTCCATAAACCCCTTTATTTAGGGTTTAGGGTTCAAGGTCTAAACTCCTGAAAGGGTGTTATATAGGGGACTATAGAGGGGATTACAGAGGGGATTATATAGGGGTGCTTCAGGGGTATACTAGGAGTTTAGACTATGGCTCTTATGGGGTCTCCCCAAATGCGGACTCCATCATTCGGATTATAATACATTGGGGTCTATATGGCGGTCCCCCAATGATGGAGACTACCCTCTAGCTGGGTGATGCAAGACCGAAGTAAGAATTCGTCTCTAGGGCTTCCTAGCAGCGCGTCGCTTGAAAGATCTCGCGAGTTTCTAAATGTTGGGTGACTTCGAGCTTTACTTGGAAGCTTGGAGATGAGATAGGCAGAGCTACATTGTGACCGTTTAGGCCCGGCCCTTTCTGCATCTCCATGCTGTCATGACGTCTGTCTGCAGTACACTTGTCCCAATACCCTACACACCAAGCGATGCCTACCCACAAATGAAATGCACAGATTGCTAAGAGCATGTTTCTGGGCTTGTCTTCGGACACGCTGCCTCTTTTACATCCATACCGGCGGTAGACCATCCAAGCTTGGGCCCACCACCGCTAAACTACACAGCTGGTTGAGCCCAAAGCCAGGAGTGTAGAGGTTGCCAGCAATTCTGTGTCATAGGGAAGGCCTGCAGATCCGCAACCTCCATACAGGAGTTGATCAACGTAACGATCACCCGGAACAACCCAAAAAGAACCACGAGTCGCAGATGCACTCATTCGTTTTAACCACAATTCTTGATTCTTAATTTCGGAGAGCATTGGAAACAGCCAGACTCCTGATGCTTCCTCGCCATCCCTCGGTCGCTTTGGCGGCGGCTGTGCCTGAGCAAAGGTCCAGAGTGACACGGCCTTTGTCAAAGAAGGGGTGTGGGAGAGCCGAAACCCGGCAATGGGTTGACATTCCCATGCTTTACAGGATCTCTATCTCAGGAACTTAACAGGCAACTAAAACTATGCTGGCTGAGTGCCCACTCGGGGGCACATTGCCAGATCTTTAGCATAGGATTCAGCCAGCAGGATTGAACCTGCGCATGACCGAAGTAAAAAGCATGCAAATCCAAGATAGTGGTCCCCAGGCGCTGCATCCCTTTGGACACATAACGCATTAGCATGGCCTCTGCTCCACGACAAGCTTACTCCCGAAAGTTAAGCGAACTGGTTTAGGCAGAAACTCGGCACTCAGTACACCAGACAGGTTAACAGCGGGCATCGAAATGGCTTCGATTTCGTGAGTTCATGAGGCTTGAACGCTCTGTGGCAATAGCAGTCTGGGCAGCACAGCTATTTCCATCAGATACCTTCAGCCTCAAAGTGTTAAGCATAAAACCGTCCTGGAGTTGGTATTCCAAGGAGGTATACCAGCAGCAAGCTCAGGCCTAGATAAGAGCGCATCGAACAGACTGAGGAAGTTGCCAAGCACTGAATTTCATATTCATTGAACTGGCCCTGCGGAAAACACTGCGTAAATCTTGCATGCACTTACTTTGTCTCTCAAAAGGATTAAGAGTTGATCTTTGGTGGTGTGGGTTCGCTGCTTGGGTTGTGGGGGACTGTTATCATAACCGTCATCATCACCACCAGATGCAGCATCGTCATCAGCATGGTCTCGCCAAAATCAATAAGCTCAGTCACAATGGCGGTCGCCGCAGCAGTGGTAGCAGCAGCAGCGGCACCAGCAGCAGCGGTAGTAAGGGCAGCAGCAGCAAGAGGAGGAGCATGAGCATGAGAACTAGCAGCACCAGTACCACTATACCGGTATCAGCAGCAGCAGCACCAGCACCAGCACCACCAGCAGCACCAGCAATCATGTTCTTCGTCATCTTCATCACAGGTAGTATCACAACAACGGCACGGTGATGGTACTCTTCTCTCTTGATCGAAAAGAACACTCAACCTCGTTCGTTGTGTTTAGGGAATTGCCCAAATTAGTATGCCTCAGATGGGTTCGCCCTACTTCAACAGGGGAAGGTTACCATGTACCTCGCAGGTGATGCCCGTTCTCTATAACGATCGGTGTCAGAATAAGAACGGGCATTCACGGAACCGCCCTGTACTAACTTGGTGAAACACATATGCGGTTCACTGTCACAGCCTGATTGAACATCAATATCTGAGGCCATGTCCATCCGCAGCCAGGAGAAAACTGAGATCCGTGTTGTCTGAGCCGAAAGGAAATAGGCATGTCTCAAACGTAAGGGGGCCCACAGAAATGCGGATTCTAGTAGGTTTCGCAGAATCTGCATATGTTTCATTCGAGGGTTCCATTAGAGGGATGCCCAGCTTAAGAAATAGCCCAGTGAGAAGCTATGCATATCTATGCATGAAATTGGAGCTTGAAGTTCCAGGTGAACGGAAGCCTAGGACATTCATGCGGCAAAGTCTGACTCAGTATTGAGCCTACGAGTATCGCAGACAAAGGCATCCTGAGAATCTTTGTCCAAGGGAACTTATGGCCACGAAAGTCCTCCAAAAGCAAGAACAACTGGATGATCATTTTGACGCGCTGCATTCTAAGATATTCGAAAAGCCAAAGCTGTTTTCAACATACTTTGATGCGGCATGGAAGTTGTAACTCCTCTGCTTGCCATGTGTGTTGGGTCTCCAGGATTCAGCTTGCCATGAAAGCAACGAAGACGACTGTATACTCTTTCCGGTGACACCCTGTGCTTGAACATGGAAGCAGAACTGGGGATTCGAAGTGGATTCGGCGAATTCTTCGACCTTGGTAGAGGGCAACAAACACCTCTTCACTGCTTACCGACGCTGCTACAGGTCTGGCTGTGCGCTTCGTGAAGCTAATAAACACTCGTGAAACTGGAATCGCTCGGAGAGAGCCTGGCTTGTTGGCTTCGCCAAAAAAAAAAGGCCACTGGAAACGGCTCTCAATGAGAAACTCCTCCTGGGTACCTGGGAATAGCGTGGTTATAGTGCAAAACAAGCCCTGCGCATCTGCAGAAACGTGTATGACTGCTAAAACATGGGAACTAAGTCAGCAGTCGATGTGATTCGGTCGTTATGTAGGCAGCACAAGAATCTCCCTTTCGGAGCTGCTCAAACCTATCAACATATAAGCAAAAGGTACAGAAATTACACGAGCATGTGAGGATATCGTCTAGCACAAAGATTACTGCAACGTCGCACACCAAAATGCTGAACGCCTGTTTCTGTTGCAGGCTATGGTTCGATACGGCGTGCCTATCACCATTGAAGCTGTTGATGATCTTGCCAGGACAAAAAAATTCTAGGGTCACCTGAAATTCATGCATGATTGCAAAAACCTGCTGGGCTAGGCCATCCTGTGTTGATTTTCGTGATCGTGTCGAATCTCTATCAAAAGGCTGCGCATGCTTTTGGGGTGCCGCGCGATATGAACTGGATTATGGATTTGAGGTCTTCCCTAATCCCACACGAAGACTAAAACAATTTTGAAAGCCTCCCCTCGCAAAGACGCTAACAACAAACGTCTACCATAGGCCATTAGCAACTTCGGGACTGTGTGCAGGCTCTTCCTCTTAGCTTGCTTTTTCTGAGGCCTCCGTCACAACCTTGGGGTATGATGCTCTGAGAGTTGTTCATCCCTACGCGGGTACGGACTAGGAATCATTTGTTCTGTTTCCAGCTTTGGGGCAAGGAATAGCATGCGAGCAAATCAATTATGGCAGAGACCTGGCCTGCATAGCGTGCCATAGACTGCTGCGCAGTTTGTAGTCCGATTTGATGGTGAGTGCGTCTCGGTGGTTTGGTGCTTTCGGCTAGATCATCTTCACGATTTTGGATGTTTGCCCTTGCGCCTTGTCGAACTTCCGACATGCATGTCCGTGCTTATCAAATCGAGGCTTTCAGGAATTTCCAGTGCGAAGTGGCCAAGCGCTGGCGGACCCTCCGCCCCTCCCTCCCTTTTGTCCAAGCCAATCCAGCACAAGTGCGGGAAGGTGGATCCCTTCCTCTTGGCGGTAAAAATTAGGGTACAGAATTCGCTCAGCTTCCTCGTTTTCACTAATCATTTCTATAATCCTTGATGAAGCTGACCTGCATGCTACATGCTCTGCCTGCACTTGGTGCAACCTTTGAATAAACCTGCGGTTTGGGGATGGCATCCTTCTGTTAGACATTTCATTTGCTGTCGACTCGATTGTATCGCAAGGCTGGTGCGCCCTGGTCAAAACCTACCATCTCATGGGATTACACTGGGTTAGAAGGAAAGTGGTGCACCTTAGGCAAAAGGAGTACGCAGAACCAAACTGCAGTACGCTCATGTTAAAAGCCCAGGTGCCTGCGTGTAGACACTCTCAGAAGGTATTCATCGTGGTGGTTCTGATATAGATTTTTCGATAATCATCAGGGAAAAGCGCCTTCATGAACTCTCTGTCATCAATACCTCCACTGCCATCTGTGTCGAAGAGCTCGAACAGCTCTTCTGCTTCTGATGGTCGAATGCCAACATTCATTTTCGATATCATATCCTTGGGTTCGGTAGCTTATAGCCATGATGACAATAGGTCATAAGTATCGATCATAAGTATCACCATCAAGATCAGCATTGTTTCGTAACAGTGCCGATGCTGCAGCACGAGGGATGGAAAAAGGATGCTTTCTTTGAACACGGTGATAAGTATGGAAATTTGATCTGCCAATGCGCAGTTAACCAAAAAGTACAGCCATCCATCCAGGGATATGCTGCCATACCCGTATTGACAAGAGATTGAAAATCAAGGCGAGTCAAAGGCCATTCTGCCATTATAGTTATATTGAGGCTATATTGGGATAATGGAAAAGTAAATGGGAACTATTATTTAGGGTTTAGGGTAGTTTCCAGTTTATTTTCCATTTTCCCCCATATTATAGCCCCAATGCAACCCCCACATAACCCCAATATAAGGGGTTGCAGAGGTGTGATGTTGTCCAGACGGAGCGCATGCACAAGAGAAGCCGCAAGAGTCAAATGTAGGGTATGTAGGGGTTTGATTGAGGGATAATGGAAAACAAAATGCAAAACTACTATAACATATATATATATAAGGTTATTTCGGGGTGCACTTGCTAGACTACTGGGGTAGGCGCAATGCGAATTGCAATAAGCAGTAAGTCGGCCGTAAGTCCTGGACAGCCTTCAGAAATGCAGCTAGAATAGTGTGCAGGCATGATGCGCAAAATTCATCCATCGTGAGCTCCCCGTTGCCGTTGCTATCAAACTTCCGGAAAAGGGATGGCATGTCACCTGGCGGCAAACAAACCACCGCAACTGGCTTGTCTGAAATGCTTCTTCAACAGGGACGATTTGGAAAAGCCTGTCATGACTGGGGACCCACCCCCAGCCGAGCTTCAGCTTGAAAAGTGGCAAGACTCAACACTGGAGATCCCTCAACATCGTCCAAAGCCCCAAGCTTTGTTCAAGCTCAGTGACTGGCTTCATAGCCGTAGCTCTTAAGTCGCTGACGCGTACGGGTCATCAACAAGATACGGCTGCGATCTGCCCAGGCATGCGTCATGGCCTACGGAGCAGTGCGGCACACGGCGTTTGTCGAAGAAAGGGTTGCGAGGGAGGCAGCACCAGCCATCAAACTTTAGTCAAGCGGCATTGCCGAGCACGGAGATGGGCATGGCCATGAAAAGTACGGATAGAAAGCACAGAGTTCCTGCTAGGATCCGCCCAGAAGTAGTCAAGGGCGTGACATCTCCATACCCAACTGTGGTCACCGTCACCGTGCAGATCCACATAGCCGTGCTCAAAGAATCAACATTGTCAACTTCTTCGACAATATACATAAGCGTGGAGAAGCTTAAGACAATCACCTGAGCGGTAAGGACTGGTTTTGAGGTAGGGATTCTACCCAGGAACCCTGTGGCAAACAAACAATAAGGCAAGTTGCGGAGATGAGGAAGAGCAAGAGCTTCAAAGCATCTCCCGTAGTGTTGAGCACATGGGAAACCAAGCTGAGTTTACCAAACCGTCGCATCAGCTTCAGCAGTCGTACTGTTGGCACAATGCCGACCTTGGCAGTCACTCCGTCTCAGGTGCTGGGCCTGCAGTTACAACCCAACTCCGCGCAGAGGCTGTTGACCTGAGGCACGTGCCAGCACGTAGTGGCTGAAGGGCTTTTCTGCAATAGATGGCAGGGTAAATCCTGCTTCTATCCGCAAGATGATTGGGAGTACGGCAGCCAGGTCGATGTAGGTGTGGTAATCCCGAAAAATGGCCTTGCGTCGACGCTGACATGATTTAGCTCCCTGTGGGTGTGGATGTGGCGCTGCTGTGTGAAAGTGATACATACACCTGTGACTTCAAGCTGTTGCAAAACCTCGCGCATCTTCAGAACTACGATGCCGATACGACAGAACGGATGAGTCACTTAAGGCGGAATTTCTTGTCTCAAAGGCTGCAATTGCAATGACTTTGGCTTACGCACACCATGAAAGGGATGAGTGATGATGCCATCTCGTCCGCGAAGTTCAAGCTTTTTTGGTCCATCATGTGCGGGTTTCCAAACGGAGCTGCAATTGTGAATTTCACCTAGTATGACCCCTGATATAAGAACTCCCACGCAGAGACCCACTGTCCCTTTTATGGGCGTTGCTTTTCCCGTTGCAGCACAATTCCTAGGAGTACTACTACCTGGCACTATAGTCGCGTCTCGCAGTGACATTATTATACTGGTACTCTGATTATTCTTACCACGGCTGATAAGGCTATTGTCGCAGGCATCGTCATTGCTAGCACTTAAATGCTATTGTCATCACTGCTACCGATGACAAGTACGCCTTCTGATATTGCTACGAGTAGTGCTATTACGTTATTGCTGCTGCTACTTATCACTGCTACCGTTTCCATCACTGCTATAGCGGCCGAGACTAAGCTTATTATTGCCATCACAATTACCATGCCTGAGACTATTACTGCTGCTATTACTCTTTATCCGCCGACCCCGAAGCGGGG